TACTAATGTTTTTTCGGCGTATGAGCACTAACTGGATTAACAGATATCAGAAAAAAAAATAATCAAAAAAAAATTTTGGTATCGATTACTACATTTTTTCGGAATTATTTAAGTTGTTAGCTTAACTTCCATTAGGTGAAAAAAAATTGAAATTTATTATTTAGATTTTTTTGTTATTTTTTACTTTTTTTCGAAATTTGTTACTATCTAAACAATCTCTTAGCAAATCTGGCCCATATTTGGTTGACATTCTCTCACGAAATGCAGCTGCATTTCTATTTGACATGCATTTGATGGGTTAATAAAATGAATGAAAAATGTTTAGGGCTTCGGCGCTTGTAAAATGTAACGTTTAAGTAAACAATAAAAATGAGCAAAATAAAACGAAAGCGTAATCAAACGCGTAAATGTAAAATTTGTGTGAGCAACAGCCATAAAATATGTTCATGTTTTTCCTGGTTTTATTTTTGTTCGATGTGAAAAAATGTGAAAAATATGGAAATCGTAAATTCAAGTTTAACTGCATGAATTGGACGAACAAATGAACGGACAGAGATGTGCGGCAAGCATGCAGCATTAAAGTGTAAAGAACCAGAGTAGAGAAGCTGTGAAGGGCCTAAACTGCTGCCTTTGAACAATTCGACGTTTTATTGCTAGCTAAACACACCTTCTGCCACTTTTGTCATATCAAACATTGACGTCTACCCCCCTTGTAAAGTTTAGTTCGGAGCATCTTAACACAAATTATGGACTATAAAAATTTGTGCATACATTACATTTACATTCCTATATACTTAACATATGTATGTATAGCATGTATGTACATTAGGGCGGGTCATTTTTTTTTACTATGCGCGTATATCATGGGAGGACTACCTCTACTCAGAAGGAAACATGAGTCTAAAATCAATTTGGAGTTTGCCCTATGGCGGATGTTATAAGAAATAACCCCTAAGAAGCCCGTTTTCCCAATTTGGCAAAGTTCCAATTGGTTTTATAACAATGGTTTCTTCAGCAAATTTGAATAAAATTACGCGTAGAATCCGCCTATGCTATACGCGCATAGTCAAAAAAATATCCCATACAAATTGAGCCGTCCTAATATACATATATGTATTTAGCTGAGGAAATGGCAGAAGTCGCTACTATCACTACCTGCCCATGCGAAGACACCTACATATACTGCCCACAAACAGCTGATGCGTTTACCTGTTAAATTATGTCACAATTTCCCCACTTTCGTCTAGCGCATTTTTACGAGTTGCTCACTCAATGCGCTGACTTTGCTGGCCACAAAAATAGCTTATTTAAAAGCTCTGCTTGTTTGGCATGTAAAAGCATCGCCTTCATTGTGTGCGTACGGCACATTTGCTTGCTGATGCTGGGGTGTTTGTACGCATTTTAACGCACTCGTACCAAGTTGCTATGTCAATTTATTCGAAGAAATAACACAAATGAAATTTTGTCAATTTTAATAAAAAAAAATGGATTTATTATTTAATTTTATGCGCGACACAAATTTATTGCGGGAATTTTAATACGAAACATAGCATCTTCTTGTACAATATCTTACATTAGGCACCTTCTTCCGCCGTTTATTTCAATGGTAATTGACATCAGTTTGTTGTCAGATTGTCACTTTGGGAGAGCTGTCAACAGTTTTTCGTCTGCATTTGTTTATGTGTGTGTTTAGTGGGCGCTTTTAAAGTTGAATTGCCAATTTGACACTTTTGACACGCTTGTACTGCCGTCCCACATTTCTTTCTGTTACATTTAAAAAAAATTTCTTGGTTAAATGTTTTGTCGCTGTTTTTTTTTTTTCAAAATGCATGTCTCCACTAATTTATGTTGATTGTGGAAAAATGGCACATTTAGTGAGCACTTAAATAAATTTTAATGAATTTATATCAAATTGTCAAATTTTGTTGTGGTCTGGGTTAAAGGGCGCAAAAATGCGGCATAAATAATTGTCTCTACCAAAAATGTATAGAGGAAGCTTTGAACATTTTTTTAAAACTCAATGGGCCGTATGCATAAAACTTAAGCAAGTGCTTTTTCGTAAAATTTCAGACCTTTTACTCAATTTGGTTTAATAAATTTAAGTGAAAGGTATGAAACTTTAAAATACAGCAATTACTTAGTTTTTATGCATATGTCCCAATATTTAGAGTACTCTTTGCTTTGGGAAACTTCATAGTTGGCAACTCTAAAACAATTTGGATAGAACTGTTGTTAAATACCTGTGATACATGCATATATAATTTTCGTATTATTAACAGAGATCCAGTTAAAATATTCACGGATGGATAGAATGGCAGCGAACTTTTGAGGCCATCTCTTCTGACAGGTACGGTATAAGAAGTTCCTGTAGCAACCAGCGGATTGCCCCTGAATAGATGAGCTCATTGAGCGCTGAAGGAAAACCCAGACATTTACAGTTGCAAAGTTTTTCTGATCGGTAGTCGACTGCAGACGCATAAAGGAGCTTCTACAGCTAGCTAAGTGCCCCATTTCGGTTCTGACGGGAGCTCTGGCAGGATGCTTAAAGCCCTGGTTCTTTGGTTGACAAAGTGGAACCATCTAAGTTTTTTATTCACATTATGTATGTACGAGTGCGACATCTAGGGGACGTGCCACAAAATATATTTAAATCTTTGGAACAGCAGTTCACGCACCCTTTTCCATTGAAACCTCATCAGCGAGCTTTTCAACTGCACGCCCTAACAATCAATTGAGTTTCTACCACCAATGTAATATATACCTCCGTCTTTCACATGCGCCTCAATGCGTAGCGTTCCACTTAATAATTCCACCTTCAATCATATTTTTGCTGCTCTGCAGACCACCGACACTGACCACTAACTTCGTTCACTTTGGCTCCGAACAGCTGATTGAAACCGGCAACATATATGTACATATATACATATGTATTTAAGGATAAAAAAATATAGTAAACCCCTCAAAGCATTTCCTTTTATACATTTTTATTGCCACACTAACGGCAATCTGCCACGCATTCATGTTTCCCTACTTTCGTTAGTGTGTTGCTGTGGTTGTTTGTTGACGCTGTAGCGTTAGTTAGTGGGTGTACGCTTGTTCTAAACGCTTCCCATACACATGTGTTAGCGCTATAAATTGAACTCAATTAACGCGCATAATTCATTAACAGCTGACCAAATCAAAAACATATTTTCAACAACTGCGGGGGAGCTTGGTGGGGTATGTATTTATGTGCAAATGTATGTACATGTATATAAACTAGCCAGTAGTAGTGGACTTATTAACAAAAAGAAATAAGAGCAAATTCTATAATTATTACTCGTTTTATTTTGCTTTTAGCATTTCCACAAACTGAGAGGCGTGTTCAAAAATATTTTTTGCTGAGTTCTCAGACAATTATCATACAATGTGTCAGATCCTTCTAAAATTAACTATGCTGGTCCACCACATACGTATGTACGTAAATATGAATATGAAATCCCTACATATAGAGTATTTATTTATTTTTGTATGCGTCTCTCATTAGCATATAAATTACTTATAACACTAATAATTCTTAATGCGCTAATTAATTTTTTATCGCAACAACACGATTTTTTTCGGTCATATTTATTATGCTGTATTTCCAATTAACTACCCCAGTTTATGCTGTTTTTTTATCCACTTATGCTTGACATACCATTTCATTATTCGGCTAATACGTTTATATCCTCTTTAAGCCACAATAATTATCTTCCTTAATTTTATTTAAGAGCAGTTAATAAATTGCCAATTAGTAGTCAATTAGCAAATATTAAGCATTATACAGCATATAACAGCATTCTTCAATTAAAAATTACATAAAAAATGTCTATAAATATTGCTCCCTAAAAAATATTTCAATAAAAATTTGGATACAGGTTTTGATAGAAATGTCGATAAATATTTAGATAAAACATTTTATTTTATATTTCATACAAATGTTAAAAAAAACAAAAAAAATGTATTGTGTATAATTCTACTAAAAAATTCTTTAAAATAAGTCCGGTAAATGCCACGATAACATTTTTAGTACCAGTGATAAAAAGATCACATACAATATTCATAAATACAAGTTGTCGATAACTTCAACGATATCCACATCGATTGAAAAGTCGATAACAAATAAAGAGGGATACATATAACGATAAAACTCTCGACAAATGCATCGATAAATTTTTCAATAGCAAAAACGATAAGTAATTTGATAAAATTATTGGTAGTTGTTTCGATAACAATATGGATAGTGATATCGATGAAATGATAACATGTCATATAATAACGCCGCTCACAAATCTCCCAGGATGATAGAGTTGGGGAATAAGTTATTTAAAATGTCCTAGCACAAGAGCACATTAAGGCTTGCGCATAAAAAGTGAGCTCAAGACTTCACTGGAAAAAAAGTTGAATCCAGGTGCCGAACAGAGTCAATACCAAGATTTTTATTTTGAGATCACTGGAAAATCATTACTTAGTATTTTATTTTTATTTTTTCGATTAAGAATACTCGTTAAATTTGTATTTTATTATTGAAAAATAATTATTTTATAATAATTATTATATAATAAAATCAATTTTATAATTAAGATTAGAATCAGTTTTTTGGATTCTTATTTTTTAGGAACAATTTAACCGTTGTAATGGAGAGTGTTTTTTATGATCTTAAAAATAAAATATGAAAATAACGGTTATGATATATTAAAAAAAAAATCATAAATGACGATCACAATTTATCCTAAAAATAAAAATCATAAAATCCGTTTGAATTTGATCGGAAAAATATAAATCTAATTTTAAGGGTTCAATTGTGACTTTTTTTATAAAGATCATGACCGCTATGATCTTCCGTTTAATATGTGTTTTAATAGCTTTTTCCGCTTTCTAAAAATCGGCGAATTTACTTCAATATCTAAATATTTTCTTGATCGAATGCTCACACTCAACTCACAGTACTCATAATATGCAAATTTTTCTATTTTCAGCTTCGATGTACGCGGTCGGGCCCTACAGCAAGGCATCCCTTGGGCGGATGAGAATGTCTTCAAGAAGAAAGCCCACTTTTACTACGATACAAATCCGCCAGCGTTGCGCATCAAAAATATACAAACAAGCGATGCGGGTCTCTATAAGTGTCGGGTGGACTTTCATAAATCACCGACACGCTACTGGCGCATTAATGTAACAGTATTAGGTAAGTTTCTGAGGTGACATGGCGCAGCTAAAGTTACACACTAAAATATAAGTTTCCTACCTTGCAAGAACAGGATTTATGAAAAAAAGAAAATTACGGGAAATATTTTTAAATATTTTTAAATAACTGCTCAGTTCCTTTAAGTATTTGCTACATTAATTATTTTTTTTAACTAGTGCTTATCACGCATTTTACGAATTGCCCACCCGCATTCGCTCTACCTGCATTTCAAGCGCTCATTTCCACGTTTGAGTTTGCTGTGCAAATCAAATGATTTCATATTTTTCATTCGGCATTAAGCCATTGCCTTTTTCTCTGCATCAGCAATATTTCATGCTCACACAACCATACACATACACATTTACATGTGTATACAATATAAAGCGCAAGTAATACAGTAATATATAAAAAAGGTACTCTGTGGCGTATACGCAACCACCCGCATATTTCGTTTTCTTTGCTAAACTCGCTCACTCGAGGCATTTCCGCTTCCGCAATGCGTATTCGTTTTATTTTATTTGTCGCTTATTTTTTACTTCTTCACACTAGGAAAAGCGCAAAATTTACACTATTCAGAATTTGTTACACAAAAGTAACGATGCGATGTCGCCGCGCAGCTCGCTAACGTGTTCGTAACATTTTTCACTCTCTAACCAGCAAGTTATTTTTTCCACCTGCACTCGTGCTCATCCTTACACTTGAACACCTATTTAGCTTTCTCTGAAATAATCCGAACTTCCACTTGCGAGCTTGCCAGTACAGTGTTTGCCTCACTACATCGTTACAGCTTCCTTATCCTCTACCCAAAACCATTTTTCATGCAGTCACCTTTTTCATTTTATCCCCTTCCCTGACACTTACACTACTACGCACACAAACCTTTTCATATTCTGACAGTCATTTTTCAAATATTCCACACTTCACTCCTTCTATTCTTCCCTTTTTCTTTGCAGTGCCACCCACTCAATTGACGATACTGGATCACCATGGCGCTGCGATACGCGAACAAATGGCCGGTCCCTACTTGGAAGGCGACAGCATTAATCTGACGTGCCTGTCCAGTGGTGGTGTCCCGCCGCCGCGCGTCTCCTGGTGGCGTGAACATGCGCTCGTCGACGATTCATTTCATGTCCTGCCAGATGGCACCGTTCGCAATGTACTACACTTGAAAAATATTGGAAGAAAGGACTTACTAACGGTAAGTTTGTACAATACTGTCCTACTTGTGTGTGTGTGTGTGTGTGTTTGTTCTGCTTCTGCTTACACTGCCACTGTACTCAGTCTCTTAGACGGGTCTCGATCGCATGAATTGAGGCATGCTATATAGATGACTGAGTGAAGGTAATAAAAAATACCATCGATGCTGTTGTTGCTAGGCTCTTGTGTTGCTTGCGCTGCCCCACATGTGTGGATAGCAGTAGAAGCGAGATTTCGTTGGTTGAGCTGCCGGTGAGTAGCGCCTGGTCGAAATGCTTTGAAAACCTGCATCTATAGTCCGATTTAGTTTATATTTAGAATATGCGTATATTACTACAGGAATAGAAACAGCTCTAAAAAAATTTACCGATAGGTGTCGCACAGTTCGATATATTCCGAAAACTCGCATTTTTGGTCCGATTTGGTTTGGTTGTTCAGAATATATACTTCCTTCAAATCGATAGAAAAAGTGATTTGTTTAGCTTAAGTCTAGCACGTTATGAAAATTGTAACTATCAAGTTAAAAGTAAATTAATGTAAAATTTAGCTTTTATTAACCTTAACGAAAGATTTCACTTATTTTATTTTAGTGCAAATGCAAAATAAAATTTTGTTTTTTAACTTTTTTTACATTGTTTTATACACTTTATACCGTAGAAGTTGTTTTTGGAATACTCCTTATATGGATATAATGGAAGGCTTTGATGCTGCTCACCTAGCTTCAATAACTCTAATTGCATATTGCAATATTTTTACGACAGTGCATTTTCTTATAAAAATGTCTTGGGTCTTGTAGTCAAAATATCCCACTTTTTTAACACTTTGTTTTACCCTAAAACAACTGTGCCATAGAATTTTTATGAGATTTACTCAAGCCTTCACATTCTCAACTCACTGGAAACTGCGCTGCTTTCTGTAAAAAAATTGTATGCCTCCATCGGGGAAACAATTCCCAGTTTTCTAACTTAACCAAATAAAATGGAAACAACATATCGGGTCCACCATTGAAAATTTTAAATCTCTAACCGTAATTAAATTATAAAAACTAAAACTAAATATTTTTGCTTTAAACGGAAAAGGAAGCAAAACTTTGTCTGCCTGCCGAGTAAGGAAACAAAGCCTTTCTATCCTTTATGGGTACGAAGGAATGCAGGAGGTATCAAGCAATTTCATATTTATCTTAAAACAAAGTTGCCAATTTATTTGCGAATAAAAATGAGAAATTCGATTCCATTAAATGCAAAGTTAATGTACTGAAGTGAAGGTGCTTCGAAAACCATTTGGATATGTCGTTTACTTTATCAATAATGAATGGCAATTTTATGTAATGTATGGAAATTTATTTGAAAACACCTTCTCACGCAAGGACACCGCATACGCATTTGCATAATCGCCAGTTCATGGCTAAAATAGGCGCTTCTGCTGATGAAATAAAAACTGATTTACATTTACATAAATACAACCAAGTGCATGCATTAAATGTATGTAAAGTATAATCAACCATAAAATCAGGTATGCTGGAAGAAAAATTAAATAAATATTAAAATCTATTTTCTACTTTTGAAAGTTGCCATAGCAGCAATAACACCACTTTTGTTGACATAACATTTATCCAAATAAGTGGAATCTGTCGTTAAAAAAAACTGAATACTTGTCGGTCAACTTTTAAAAACTAAACCCGAGTAAGTGGAACCAAAAAAATAAATATATATAGGTCCTAATCGCGAACTCTCCCTCAGCGCTATACACCATGCATGCATATGTATATTTAAGCAATTCCGCGAATTCCCCTTAAATGGGGGGGTCTATGTACCTACATATAAAATCTATCGCGATTGTCTTGAAACAACAAGCCATAGAGCTCTTTTTCCGTATCCTTATTTTATATCCTCGTCGCGAGTTGGGAGTTGTTCTGTTCTTCAGTGTTGCTTTAATATTTCACCAACTATTGAGTGTTTCTAATACTTTGCTCACATACTGTACTGGTATATAAAATTACCTAATTCTTGCAGTTAGGCAACATTTTACCGCCTATGCGTGTGTTCTATGATTATGACATAAAAAATTGATTAACATAAATTGCTTATGCCATGACAAATGAATTGGATTTTCTGTCGTTCATCGTCTGCTTCCGTTTCTATTACTCGCTGCTTCTTATTACTTTTCGAGAGGTTAATCTATGTATTTCACATATGCAGCTCAAGGAATGTTGCTGTGCCACTCAGCTTGTTTATAGTTGTGTTCAAATTGCTAGCACCTACTCGTACTACATATACCAGAAATGGAAATGTGGAGTCCCGTATCTGATATATTAATTTCGCATTCAAGTATTGTGTGTTTTTGTGCTTATTTTTTCTCTACGCTTGCCTAGAATATAATTTTGGCGTTATATGCGTATGTCTTCAGCGCTTTTTTTTTTAATTTAAAACTTCCATAAATAATGAACATTTTTTATGAAAAAATCACGCGATTTTTAATTAAAAATTATCGTCTGCCGCGCTTTTTTTATAAAAATCGGTAATTTGATAAAAAATTCAAATTTGTATTAAAATCAATACTTCGCTTGCGCTGTTTTTACGTATAACAGTATCTCAATATCAAATGAATAATGAATAAAAAAAAAAACCCGCGACTTTTTTTTTACTATTTTCATCATCTGGCAGCACCAACATCTGTGTTCATTTCCAACAATTGCAACCAAACCTAAAATTTTCCAGTTTTTGATTTGATAGGTAAATAAAATGCCACTCGAGGTCTATACAAATTGTATGGCACCAATCAGCTGGAAGTCGGCCATCGATGAAAGGCACAGAATTGCAAGTTCTTTAGTTATGGCTCCTTTTCTATATTTTATTAAAAAAATACTTAATTTTAAAATGCCAACGAAAAATTCCTCCGATTTTAATTTTTAATTTTTTCTTTTTATTTGTTAAAATGTTGCACACATCAAGCAGATTATTTCTACTCATTCATTCTATATATCAACTACAATTCTTCTAGAGGATTTGAATTTACAACATACATATGTATGTACATATGTAAGTAGATATGTACTTTAATTAGCATTTATGCATGCAAATAAACGTTAGACTGGAAAAAAGTTTCCAGCACTTTTCACAAAATTTTGAGAGCCAGCTTATTGAGCTTGCTTTAAACGAAAATTTCCATTAAAATTTATCACGTAACTGCCCAACAAGTATTTCAAAATTAACTTCTCTAATATTAAATTATCTATTAATAGCAAACCATGCAGAGTTGATAAATATTGTTTTCCTGCGCTCGAGTGGCTGTCAACTTTTTTGACAGAATGTTTTGCATCGGCCACAGTTTTCATTTCTATTATGATGCCACTCAGCATTTATTATTTAAAGCCAACCATCCAAACTGAGTAAGAATGAGTCAACAAAACTGTCACACAGCTACAAAAACCATCTAGTGCTTGGGTGTGTGTATTTGTACGTATGTCATAATCTTAATCCTGTGGGAT